CCAGGCTGGTCTCGAACTCCTGACCTCAGGTGATCCGCCCTCCTCAGCCCCCCAAAGTGCTGGGATCACAGGCATGAGCCACCAGGCCCAGCCTGATGAAGACATTAACATGAAAATATATTAACATAGAACTTGAAACAAAAATTCTCCCCCTTCCCTGAAATCCCAACAGTGTCAAAATGTTCAGATTTTATAAATCACACCCCCTCATATACACCAAGGGTGCTGAATGAACCACATTGAAAACACACTTGCTGTAAGGTTGGAAGGAGCTCCTGGGTCATTCTCTCCCTCAGCTTGAGCCTGAGCAGTGAATGAGGTCACAGTTGTGTGATGGAACAAACCCTTTATTGGATTCCTGATCTGATTGAAGCCCAGAAGTGGTAGGTAGCATGGCTTAAAAGTAGGTAAATATCACGATTTTGTAGGATTCTATGCTAAGTCCTTTTTTAAAAATCTATAATCTATGAGAATTGAAGGTATTTTTTTAAAGTAATGATTATTTTGAGGCATGGGGATGATTTCACAGCACCTTTCAAGTGCCTGAATTGTTGAGCCATTCCGGAGTTCCCAGCTCTGTGGTAGGTTTTCAGATTTTGAGGACTTGTAATTGATTTGTTTAGAAACAACTGCTTTCTGGGCTCTGAGGTGAAGACCTGGGAAAATGGATCAAATTCTAACCAAACATTCAGAGACCTTTTTTCCTCATGGTTGAATAGTATTCAATTATCCATTATTCCTAAGTCAGCAACCTAGTTTTCTTATCAGTGAGCTATCAAATACACTCTACATTTTGAAAAGATAGTTGGAAAGAAAAGAACAACAAAGGGGGAAGTCCTACCAACCCAGCTTCTGGTCCATAAGCCCTGTTTCTCAAACTATGCCAAGTGGAAAGGCGACGGTAATTCTTGAGTTCCTTCCGCGATCTAGGGTAGCAGAACTGCATTGTATTCCACCCCCATTCCTACTGTTAACCAAGACCAGTTGGGTTTTTCCTCCCTGACTCCGCCGAGGTTGCATGCATGGAGGCCTCGCCGCCGCCGCTGCCGTAGACTCCGGCCCAGGTGCGCTAGGTCGCCTCCCACCTGCTAGCTGCCCTCAGGGGCAACCCCTCCCTCAGCGCCAAAGACATCAAGAGGATCCTGGGCAGCGTAGGCATCGAGGCGGACGACGACCAGCTCAACAAGGTTATCAGTGAGCTGAATGAAAAAAGCATTGAAGACGTCATTACCCAGGATATTGGCAAGGTTGCCAGTGTACCTGCCGGTGGGGCTGTGGCTGTCTCTGCTGCCCCAGGCACTGCAGCTCCTGCTGCTGGTTCCACCCCCGCTGCAGCAGAGGAGAAGAGGAGGAGGAGGAGGAGGTGTCCAAAGAGTCAGACAATGACATGGGATTTGGTCTCTTTTATTAAATTCCTGCTCCCCTGCAAATAAAGCCTTTTTACACATCTAAAAACAAAAACAAACCAAAAACAGTTGGTTCCCAAGAAGTGACAGGGCAGGGATGAGTCTCCCAAAAAGACACCCTGGGAAAAACTACTTACTACTAGGCAGGTATCTAAGATGTAAACAAGTAGGCAAATACATTTTATTCTTTGTCAATTATGACTTGAAATGCTCTACTGATTTCATAATTAAATAGCATCTTTAAATAACTTTTTCCAAATATTTCCAGAATGGTCATTATCTGTGTCACATGGCACCATTTGTATTATTTAAAGTGTACAACTAGATGATTTGGTATATGTATACATTGTTAAATAATCACCACAATCAGTCTAAGTAACATATTCATCACTTCACATAGCTACTGTGTGTGTGTGTGTGTGTGTGTGTGTGTGTGTGTGTGTGTAGTGAGAACACTTAGGATCTAATCTCTTAGCAAGTTTCAGGTATACAGTACGGTATTATTACCTATAGTCAGTCACCATGCTGTTCATTAGATCTTCAGAATTTATTCATCTTCAAACTTGGTATCACTGACCAACATCTCCCCATATCTCCTTCCTCAACCACCATTCTACTCTCTGCTTCTATGACTTTGACTATTTCAGATTGCACATATTAGTTAGATCATATAGCAGTCTTTCTGTATCTGGTTTATTTCACTTGGCATTTATTTTTACATAGGATCAGAATGACACTAATTGAAGGGGGAGCAGCAACAAGCAACTTTGCTTGGAAATCTGGGAACAATGAAGGGGTGTTTCCATATGACCTTCCAACTTTATGTATACCTCTAACTTGAGTTTGCATCTATTACCATTCCTTGAGGCCCTAGACTTTTCAAACTCCAGGCTTTGAGCTGAAAAAGTTGCAAAAGAATATAAAGAATTAATCTGTAAACTGATTTCTTAATTGTATATTCTGAATTCCAGACAGAGTCACTGGCCACATGGCAGTTTCAGAAATTAAACCAAAATTTAAGCTGAATCCTCTAACAAAGGTACCCATCTCCCACAGTAAAAGGTAAGTAATGAATATATTAAGGGTGATAAATGTATTGTGATAAAGAATTGTTAGTGCTACAGCTCTTTCAGAATTTTGTCTAGCAGGTTTTCCGATCTTTACCAGGAAGCCCCTTAAAAAAAGGAAATTATTAAGATTATTGGCCGGGCACAGTGGCCCACAAATCCCAGCACTTTGGGAGGCCGAGGTGGGTGGATCACGAAGTCAAGAGATCGAGACCATCCTGGTCAACATGGTGAAACCCTGTCTGTACTAAAAATACAAAAATTAGGTGTGGTGTCATGTGCCTGTCGTCCCAGCTACTCAAGAGGCTGAGGCAGGAGAATTGCTTGAACTTGGGGTACAGAGGTTGCAGTGAGCTGAGATCATGCCACTGCACTCCAGCCTGGTGACAGAGTGAGACTCCATCTCAGAAAAAAAAAAATTATTAATATATTAAATACTCATAAAGATTATGATGAAACAATTAAAATACTCTTCAAATATTTATTATATGGTAAGTTTAGTTATAAAACAAAACACTGGAATTGAAGAGAAAGATTTTTTATGAAAAGAAAAAGATATACATCTTTTTTGATAGGAAGAGCAGAATTCCCCCTCCTGTCCTCCCAAAGAAGAAGCTGTTTTTATGTTAGTATACAAAATACTCTAGGGGGCTCAAGGAGTTATAAGTTATACCTTGAGATATTTTGAGTGCCAGTTTAAAGAAGAAAAAATTTAGAAGATCAAAAAGAAGACCTAAACCCATAACCAAGTCAAAGTGTGGAAAAAGGGTCTATATTTCAAATATAACTGGTAAACAAAAGCTGGTAAATCAGCCATGACTGACCCTGGGCTAAAATTGGGAAGGGAGATTTGCCTGTGACATTAACAATAGGTTTTTCTCAGTCACCTAACAACAAATTTAAATAAGCAGCCACTAATGACCAAAACTGAGAGCCTGTTCTATATTTTATCAGATCATAAGAAGAATATTTCTTTCCTCTTTCACAATTATCCATTTACTTTCTATTTTGAGTGTATCTTTTCTAGTGTCCTTGACTCTGCAAGCTATCTTTTGAGGTAGTGAGTTCCTTGTCACTGAAAGTAGTTAAGCAAAAACTAGACAACACTACATGTAAAGGGAATTCCTACATTAGATGAGAGGTTGGATTAGGTTCATTCCAAATGTAAGGTTCTTCAGTCATTTGAAACTTTGTAAAATAAAGTCTTTCTCCAATGTTTGATCCAAGGTAAGGTTTGAAATTGTGCCATGAGTGTCTTTTTAAAGACAGGTAATAAGAACTTTATATTGCCTGGCCAGGCATGGTGGCTCACATCTGTAATCCCAGCACTTTGAGAGGCTGAGGTGGGTGGATCACTTGAGCCCAGGAATTTGAGACCAGCCTCTACCAAAAAAAGATACGAAAATTAGCTGGGTGTGGTGGTGCACACCTGTAGTCCCAGCTACTCCAGGGGCTGAAGTGGGAGGATTGCTTGAGCCCAGGAGGCAGAGGATAGGGTGAGCAAAGATTGCACCACTGCATTTCAGCCTGGGCAATAGAGCAAGACCCTGTCTCAAAAGGAAAAAAAAAAAGATCTTTACACTGCCTTGAATTCTGCTTTCCTCCTGCTTCTTGAGAACATAGTATCTCCCTATCTACTGCATCTTTTACATCATGCAAAAGAAATTTGTTTATATTTAGAAATACAGATGGTCCCCAACTTAACAATGGTTCAACTTACCATTTTTTGACTTTATAGTGGTACAAAAGCAATACTCATCCAGTAGAAACTCAACTTCAAATACTCATATAACCATTCTGTTTTTCACTTTTAGTACAGCAGTCAATAAATTACATGAGGCATTCAACACTTCATTACAAAATAGGCTTTGTGCTGGATGATTTTGCCCACATGTAGGCTAATGTAAGTGTTCTGAGCACATTTAAGGTAGGCTCGGCTAAGCTATGTAGGTTAGGTGAATTAAATGCATTTTCAATTTACAATATTTTCAACTTATGATGGGTTTGTAAGGATGTAACCCCATCATGAATCAAGGAACATCAGTAAAATAAATATAAAATAACCTATCTGAATAAGGACAAACCCGAGCTTCAGAAATTACAGGTTGGGCACAGTGGCACACACTTGCCACCCCAACACTTTGGGAAGTAGACGAGGGAGGAACACTTGAGCCCAGGAGTTCAATACCAGCCTGAGCAACATAAGGAGATCTTGTCTCTACAAAAAATAAAAAATTAGCTGGGTATGGTGGCATGCACCTATGGTTCCAATTACACGGGAGGCTGAGGTGGAAGGATTCTTGAGCCTGGGTGGTCAAGGCTGCAGTGAGCCACGATCACACCACTGCACTCCAGCCTGGACCACAGAGGGAGACTCTGTCTTGAAAAAATGAGAGAAAGAGAAGAAATTCAAGTAGGTAATAAAGAGGAAGCACCAGAAGAAGAATTCAATGTTAGTAAAAACTGAGAAAATAAGACAAGTTAGATAAAATTCCACTTTCAAAAGTTAAGAACAGTTCTGAGACTATTATCTCCTTTTCTCCCAGGCCCCTCTTTGAAAATGAGTTGAATCTAATAAATACTTTAGGGGATACTAAATTAATAAACCATAATAATTTTTTGTTTAACTACAATGTTTAGTATTTCTTCTAGTTTTACTTTTTTGAGACAGAGTCTCGCTCTGTCACCCAGGCTGGATTGCAGCGACGTGATCTCCACTCCCAAGTAGCTGGGACTACAGGCGCCCGCCACCATGCCCAGCTAATTTTTTTTTTTTTAATTTTTAGTAGAGACGAGGTTTCACCGTGTTAGCCAGGATGGTCTTGATCTCCTGACCTCGTGATCCACCCGCCTCGGCCTCCCGAAGTGCTGGGATTATAGGCGTGGGCCACTGCGCCCGGCCTAGTTTTACTTTTTAAACTGCTTCTTATAAAGCCACAAAACTATGAGATTTCATATTTTTTAAACTTTTAGTTCTACAAGTATCAAAACTAAAGACACTTTAAATAAATTTATAAAATTGATTATAATTAAATGTTTGAGTTAAGTCACATTTACTTAAATGTAATTAAATTTTACTTATCATATTATAAGCAAACCCAGTTTTATATGATGTATTTTTGTGTTCTTAAACTAATAAATTACTTCAGATCTGTACAAAGTATCTTGAAAGTATTAATATGTTCCTGCCTTTCCCAGATTTTACTTTGCTGAATAAAGGAAAGGTCACCCAGGGTTTCAGATTTTCAGAAGTGTTCTCTATCTTTGTTTCTCTCTCTTACACACACATACATATGCTGTTAAAAATGCAATTTGACAATTGTAAAATAGTTGTAAAAGATTTTTTAAAAAGAAAGTTGTAAAATAGTCATAGATGCAAAGGTTTCTCTGTAAGGGTATTCACCACAACAATGTTTATACTTTTTTAAAATTTGAAACTCAAGGCTGAGAGTTGGAGCCAGAAAAAAAAGAAAATTGAAACAACTTCTATTTCTAACAACAGGAATAGTGTAAAGCATTATGGCCTTGATTTTTGGAGTCAGACAAATCTAGGTTTGAATCTCAGGTCTTCCGTTTACTATCTGTATAGCCTGAGACAAATAATTTAATTACTCTGAGCTTCTGTTTCCTATTGTATAAAATGGGAGAAATCATAACTGGTTTTTTGATTGTTTGTTTGTTTGTTTTTGAGATAGGATCTCACTGTCACCCAGGCTGAAGCAAAGTGGTGCAATCTTGACTCACTGCTGCCTTGACCTCCCAAGCACAAGCATTCCTCCCACCTCAGCCTCCTGAGTGGCTAAGACTACAGGCCCATGCCAGCACATCTGGCTAATTTTTTTGTTTTTTGTAGAGACAGGGTGTTGCTATGTTGCCCAAGCTGGTCTTGAGCTCCTGGGCTCAAGCGATTCTCTTGCCTTGACCTCCCAAAGGGCTAGGATTATAGCCACCATGGCGGGCCTGAAATTATAATTTTTTAAGGGAGGGGTGTTGGGCATCCATGGCTGGCCTGAAATTACAATTTTTTAAGGGAGGGGTGATGGGCAAGTTTAGGGCAGAGGTGGATCTCAGTGGCCAACATTTTCTCACTGTTCATCCTGTAGCTATTGACTATCCTAAATAGAAGATCCCTTAGGATAGTAGACTGGATACATTGAGATGCTACAGTCATTCCAGTAGCAGAAACTGATGAATAGGACTAATGTCTGCTGGTTTCACATATGTAGTAAATCTAAATATTTTCATATCTTTCCTCAGGGATAGAGACTTACCAGGATCTCTTCAATGCCAATTACAACACAAAGAAAAGAAGCTAAGTGCTTCACAAATGGCAGGTAATGAGAATCATCCTCAAAACTGAAGCATAGATAACAGCTCCTTAATATGTCTGATCCTTTCTTCTCTAAGAAAGATCTGAGATTTCACAGGTTGTCTACACCACCATCATTTGAGAGAAAGGGAAAAAAACTTGTATTTTTGTGAGACAGGAGGAAAATTGCTTTTAAATGGACATCTCCCTAGAATTTAGGCAGTGCTAGTCAAATAATTGTATTCAAAGAAGAACTTGTGGGTGTGGAAAAGAACAAATGCAAAAATAACAAAAATAACAAAAGAACAAGTATAAATCAAGTAATAAAGAACACAAACACAGCTACAGTCCTAGGATTTCTCAAAGAAAAAAATATAATGATAAAATGAGCTACACTGGTTAAAGTTTATTCATCCAAACAACAAATATTTATTTAATGCCAAAAATGTACTAGGTGTGGGAAACATAACAAAACAAGTTAGACATGGTAGGACCTGATAGGAAGTCTAACAGGGAAGACAGGCTGTTAAACCATGAACTTGCTGGGCACAGTGGCTCACACCTGTAATCCCAGCACTTTGGGAGCCTGAGGCAGGCCAGGCCGATCACCTGAGGTCAGGAGTTCAAGACCAGCTTGGCCAATATGGTGAAACCCTGTCTCTACTAAAAATACAAAACTTAGCTGGGCGTGGTGGTGGACACCTGTAATCCCAGCTATTTGGGAGGCTGAGGCAGGGAGAATTGCTTGAACCTGGGAAGCGGAGGTTGCAGTGAGCAGAGATCACACCACTGCACTCAAGCCTGGCCGACAAAGCGAGACTCCATCTCAGAAAAAAAGCCACGAACTTGCTGAATAAATCATTTAAATTACAATATAACACAGGTTATGATAGGAAAAGTATAGAGTGTTATAGGAGCTTAAAGGAAAGCCTCCTAAATTTAGTCTTGTGAGGGAAGAAGGGGAGTCCCAGAGAAGACTGAATGGCGACTAGGAGTAAATCAGGCAAATAGTGCTGAGAGGAGTGTTCTAGGCAAAAAGAACAGAATCTACAAAGGCCAGAGAAAAGGGAAAACATCATGCACTAGAAAAATTCAAAGAAGTCAAGTGTGGGTATGTTTGGGTTGCGTCTGGTTTCTGGAGAGGCTGATGCTTTACTCCACTAAATTTAGAACCAATTTAGAAATTGACCCAGGAGACAGAAATGAATCAAAGAATCAATCGACTTTGACCAGCCCTGAGAGGGGCAGTCCCTCCAGGGCCAGCAAGGCCCCAGATAACAAAACATCAAATATGGAAACTAGAAAATGTGTTCCTTACAGTGCTTAATCCTCACAGCTTTCCTATGAGAGGTTAATTTGTTCATTCTACAAATATTTACTGAATACTTCAAGATCCCTAGCATCTCCCATCCTCACTGTCAATAGGTCTCCTTACTTTCCTGAAGAAAACTGAAGCAATCAGAGTAGAATGTCCATAGACTCTCACTTCCATGTCTGCCTCCTTACCAGCATCTGTATCTATATACTCTGTCTTCCAACAACTTTTTCTATTTGAGCAATAAAAATTAATAATACAGAATTGATTATAACCCAAAGTATAAAATAAACATCCATGAATCCACACTGATAGAAATAAATGACTAATTTTTTTTTTTTTTTTTTTTTTGAGATGGAGTCTTGCTCTGTCACCCAGACCGGAGTGCAGTGGCGCGATCTTGGCTCACTGCAAACTCTACCTCCCGGTTCACACCATTCTCCTGCCTCAGCCTCCCGAGTAGCTGGGACTACAGGTGCCTGCCACCACGCCCGGCTAATTTTTCATATTTTTTAGTAGAGACGGGGTTTCATCGTGATAGCCAGGATGGTCTTGATCTCCTGACCTCATGATCCGCCCGCCTTGGCCTCCCAAAGTGCTGGGATTACAGGCAGGAGCCACCGCTCCCAGCCATAAATGACTAAATTTTTAATAGGAAGAAGAGACAAATGGCAGAGGTAGCAATAGCTGGAGGGGGAAATGGGGTCACAATGTACTTTTTAAGGGAGAAATAGCAAAAGTTTATACAACAATAGGATTGATATAATAGAAAATGAAAAAATGATATTTCCCTTACCTAAGGGGGGACCCTTTCTTAGGTAAATTCTTTGAATATGAGAGAGGGGATGAGTTCCAATACACAAGGGAGGGATTGGCTCTGGATAAGAGCATACAGTTTATTTGCAGCGCAGAGAGAAAGGAAGGTCATGCAGGTACAGGTGCTAGTCAGGAAACAGACACAAAGGTGGGAGTGTATAGGAATTCCATTTCTCTTCTTCTTTCTAATCATCCACCCAGAATTACTTTTTCTTTTTTCCATGGTATGTATCAGCTTCTAAAATGGCATCTAATTTACCTATTTATTACATTTATATGAAGGCACAGATCTTTGTCTATGTAGTGCGCTAATATATCCTAAGCACTTGGAGCAATGCCTGGTCCATGGAAAGCATGCAATCAATATTTGTTGACTGCCTACTAACATGCAAGAGATAATGGGAAAAACAGAAACAAGTCAGAGATAGTTTGGTTCCAGCCCTAGAGAAGCCTACCTTTTATCAAGGAAAAAGATATTACCTTTTTACATTACACACTTACAGAGCAGGTATCATTATCTCTGTAGGAGATTAATCATTCTTATACATAGAGATGCTGAGACTTGAACATGATATGAAGTAAGTTTTATTTTGGTGTCATTTGGAATATATTTTGTTCCCGGTTTATTTCCTCATTCACTAATTTCAGAAAATACTTATCTAATTTTGGCTCCAGTTAGTGCCTTGACTATTTCTTTGAAAAACTTTGGATCCATATAAAACACACACACATATATATAATTTGGGTCCAATTTGACAAATTAGTTTTCTATTGCTGCTGTAACAAATTGTCACACACATAACAGCTTAAAACAACACAAATTTATTATCTCACAGTTCTATAAGTCAGAAGTGCAGGTGGGCACAGCTGGTTTCTTTTCTCTGTGTCTTATAGGACTGAAATTAAGGTGTTGGCCAGCCTGGCCTCTTATTTAGGGGCTCTGGAGGAGAATCTGCTTCCAGTCTCATTCAGATTTTTGGCAGAATTCTGTTCTTTTCTCTTGTAGGGCTGACATTCCAGTTTCCCTGCTGTTTATCAGCCAGGAGCTTCTCAGCCTCTTTAGCAGGCAGAGAAGTTCCTGGCTGATAAACCAGCAATGGTGGGTGAGGTCTTTCTCATGCTCTAAATCTCTCTGATTTCTGCCACATCTCTCTGGCTTCTAGCTATATAAGGGATAATGTAATTAGATCAAGCCCAGAAGAATCTATCTTAATTATATGTACAAAGTCCCTTTTGCCATGTAAGATAGCATATTCACAGGTTAAGGGATTACAGTGTAGATATCTTTGGAAGGCCATCTTACTTACCAACACTTGGTTTTGCAACAGTTAGTTCATTCCAGTTCAAGTTCCATGGAAGGATACTGTATAAGAAATGTCTATTAAGCACTCATTTTTTTCACAATCCTTTTTTTAGAACATGATCTCCAGTCAACTATATTGTCTGTCCTAGTCCTATTAGTGTATATACTTATTCTTGAATAACTGTCCTGAATAACTTAATCCTATTTCCCCAGCTTTCCAAGATGCCTACAACTTCTTCAACAAGGACAAAACTGGCTGTATTGATTTCCATGGACTGATGTGCACTGTAGCTAAGCTGGGAATGAATCTAACCAAGCATGATGTCTATAATGAATTGAAATGTGCTGATATTGATCGTGAGTCATTTGGCTTCTCATTGCTTTTCCCATAAAAGATTTTTGTGAATATATAGTTTTCTTTTAATGACTGCATAAACATGAGAAACAAACCTTATTTACTTGCTCCCATATATATATATTTGTATATTTGCATATTTGTATATGTTTGTAGACTATATATTTGAATACTATATACAAATACGCATATATGTATATATCCATATATCTATGTATACACACACATATGTATCCTTAAAGAGACACACACATATGTGTGTGTGTCTGTGTGTGTATGGTGTATGTCCCTTTAAGGAGATCAGTGAGGTATGTGTACAAGTTGTGAAATCAAATTAATCCTAGAAAATGGACTATTTGAAAAACGCTGTGTAGAAGCCAAGAGTGATTGTCTGATTTCAATATCAAATTCAGGTTACCTGTCCTGATGTACATGGAAGCTGTACATGGAGGGTGCCCTGAAATAACAGATACAAAAGCAGTAACAATGTTAATAATGACTCATTACCAAGAGAATTCAAGCCTTTTGTTTCTGTTTGAATCAAAATAGAACAAATCTTTCTTTTTCCATCAAGTCCTACCTACACTGAATTTTAAATGCCATAGCACTTTTGTTGGTATTTTTAAAGCATACAGGTAATGTTTTTAGTGATTATACTGACCAAATTATTAGTAGCCCAAACTGATATGCTGTGTAAAAATATATTCAGCATATTATCTCCTCTCACCTCTCTCTACCCAACTGTCAGTGCCCCATTCAATCAACATCAGTTCCACCTGTCATTCAATGTCACTTAAGGTGTCACTTGCTTCTACTAACCGTGTCAAATTTTTCTATTATTTCATGGAAACACACACATACCCCTCTAATAATACTCATCATCCTTCAATTTTAGAGGAAATGGAATACAGCTTGGGGATGTTAAAATAGGAATAATAGGGGCGGTTATAGCATGGGAAGACAGGGCAGATTCCTTGCAAACATGGCCAGGCTCTGAGAAAAGAGCAGGCAGACAGACTGCAATGGCTGGGTGTTCCTGGCTGGATGTTTACAACCACTGTTGCTTCTATGGGCTGTGGAGGACTCATGTAATGGTGCTAAGACCACTTCAAGAAGACCAGGGCTCACCTGAGCATATTTCCAATGCTCTTTTTTTGCTCAATTCAAATGCTCTTTTTTTAATATTAAATCATCCAGAGTGTTTTAATTTTTACATTTAATATATACTCTGATAATTTAAATACATCTTATCATTGTCCTGAGTCTCAGATTTTTGTTGCAGGAGATGGGAAGGTGAACTTCTCAGACTTTATCAAGGTGCTAACAGATAAGAATCTCTTCCTCAAGGCAGTGGGTAAGTAGAGACGTTATGAACAGAAGGCAGCTGGGCAGCTACAACTCACTGCACAGTAAACATCATTCACAGGCTTCCAGTTGGGAGACAGGTCAGGAAGGTGTAGTCTGGGATGTGAGTTACTTTTGAACTGCTTCTCCAGAACAGTATTTGCTAAACAAATTGGTACAGTGTTAACTACATCAGGCAGGCACTTGCACTGTCCAAATGCCTCCTGCAGGAGACACTGCCCTTTGGTCTCCAGTGAGAACACTGAGTGAGTGACTGGTGTAGAAAAATTTGGCTGCCTTCTATAATGTCTGAATTCTTTTTTTTTTTTTTTTTTTTTTTGAGACGGAGTCTTGCTCCGTCGTCCAGGCTGGAGTGCAGTGGTGCGATCTCGGTGCACTGCAAGCTCTGCCTCCCGGGTTCATGCCATTCTCCTGCCTCAGCCTCCCAGTAGCTGGCACTACAGGTGCCTGCCACCACACTCGGCTAATTTTTTGTATTTTTAGTAGAGATGGGGTTTCACAGCATTAGCCAGGATGGTCTCGATCTCCTGACCTCATGATCCACCCACCTCGGCCTCCCAAAGTGCTGGGATTACAGGCGTGAGTCACTGCGCCTGGCCTATAATGTCTGAATTATTTACCAAGTGTATGCACTACTTTGAGAGGCATTGCTTTTATTTTTTTTAAAAATTTTTTTTCATAAAAAGAAAAATGCACTCTCATGTAAATCTAGAGTGTCGATAATTTACTGTTCTTGAAAAAATAGCTTCCTCACACTGATGAAGCCTCTACCCTCAGTGCTAGAGCTGAAGAGTCTGCTGTAGGTTAGAAAGCATTAGTTAAGGTGTCACATGCTTCCACTAACTAATAGAAAATAATTTTTCTGTTATTTCTCCCCCAAGGTTATAAATGATGTGTAGGTATAGTGGAAATATTGTCATTAATCCCCTCATTGTTTATAAGTTTAACAGGCTGCCTTGGAAAAGCTAATCATTATTTATGTTTTCTAGGATAAACATTCCAAATTCCAAATACTGTATACAGTTTTGAAAATATATTCATTCATAAGCTATGAACTGTTCTTAGGATAAAGAGAAGTTATTTCTTACAAGTAGTACTATAGTAATGGGAGTTTGCCTAGAACCAGGAAATAATCATTAACACAAAATTCATGTTTGTGTTAAAAATATTACTACATTTGCTTAGACGTTATTGAACTAAAAGTATTTTTTAACATTCCATTTTATTCTGTCTGCTCAGTAACCAAAATGGCCTTTCTACCAAATAGAACAGACTTTTAATGTTTTACTGTACCTCTAGTTCCTGACTTGATATTATTATTATAAATAATCAGTAAAGACGTGGTCGATTTCTAATTTCAGAAGGTATTTAAAAATCTATCTTTTGTTTTCCCTCCATAGTTCCAGAAAAGGAGACCTGTTTAGATTTAGCTGGCAACCCAGGAATCCTATTGTTTGAAATCCTATCAAAGCTTCTAGAGACTTCAGCCCTACCCAAAAAGTCTATACTAGAAATAGTAAGGTAAGTGAGAAGGAAAGGAGCAAAAACAGCCTTCTCAGAAGCATTATGAAGATATTAACATGGCAGTCACCTCTCACTAACATCCAACTCCACAGGGTCTGGTCCAAAACTAAGGAGAAGAAGGTATCTGGGCAAATGCCCTTGTGCTACAACGTGAGACCTTATTCCCTCATCTCCACAATCCTGCCCAGTTCTAAAACTACAAAGCTGACCTCAAACCACCTCAGGGCCCCACTGAGGACCTAAGACAACCAAGAAATTTTAGCCTCCTCTATCTCAGGCCAAAGAATCCCAGCAGAACAAGACTTTTCCAGGAATAATTTTGGGTGGGCTTAGAAATCTAGTTTGGAATATAAGATGCTCTTGTTCGTGCTGAAACTACCAGGGGCTCTTGAGATGAGGTACAGCAAATTCAGACCTCTGAAAGTAGCCTTTGGACTAGAACAGAGCCAGAATTAGACTTGAGACTAAAGGATGAGGAAACATTCTCATCCTTTAAACCTTTAATTCTCATCCTTTAAATAAATAACACACACCAACTGTGTTATTTATTCCAGCAAGTAGTGCTGAAAGTAAATCACTTCAATCTATTTTTATCATTGTCTTATAGAAATTAAACAAATGTTGCTATTATCAGTCTTTCTCAACTCATACTCCTTCAAAGCATTCCAGTCTCCACCTAGAGAGACTTAAGAGTATAGAATACCACCAACAATGTAAAAATCTTCTTCTGCCCCTCAATAAGTAGTCTTTTTATACTCTCCTATCTCTCTGTCAGATGTAGAATAGAGGATGCACAAAATTCTACTTTTCATTCCAACTCAAAGACACTTAGTAAAGCCTAATGTTAGTACACAAATTCGATACTTGGTTTAACTTCTCGATCTCAGTTTCCTCATCTATAAAAAGGGAATGATAATACCTACCTTATAGGACAATTGTGGGACTGATGTGTGACAATACATGTGAAGTGCTTAGCATATTGTAAGAGCTCAATAAATGTTAGCTATTATTATTGTGTGGAAGTAACTAGACTAAGCACACACATATTATCTTGAAAATTGAAGCTTCAGCTGGGCGGTGACTCACGCCTGTAATCCCAGCACTTTGGGAGGCTGAGGCAGGCGAATCACAAGGTCAGGAGTTTGAGACCAGCCTGGCCAACATGGTGAAACCCTGTCTCTACTAAAAATACAAAAATTAGCCGGGCGTAGTGGTGGGCGCCTGTAATCTCAGCTACTCGGGAGGCCAAGGCAGGAAAATAGCTTGAACCTGGGATGCGGAGGTTGCAGTGAGCCGAGATCACTCCACTGCACTCCAGCCTGGGCAACAGAGTGAGACTCTATCTCAAAAAAAATAAAAAAGAAAAAAAAAGAAAATTGAAGCTTCATTTAAAAAAAATTATAGCCAAGCACCATGGCTCGTACCTGTAATCTCAGCCACTCAGGGGGCTGAGATGGGAGGATGACTTAAGACTAGAAGCTCCGGCCGGGCACGGTGGCTCAAGCCTGTAATCCCAGCACTTTGGGAGGCCAAGACGAGCGGATCACGAGGTCAAGAGATCGAGACTATCCTGGCTAATACGGTGAAACCCCGTCTCTACCAAAAAATACAAAAAAACTAGCCGGGCGAGGTGGCGGGCGCCTGTAGTCCCAGCTACTCGGGAGGCTGAGGCAGGAGAATGGC